ATTTTGTCAGAACTCTCTGTCATGACCTGTCCGTCTTGGGTGGCCCCGCACGGTATAGCTCATGGCTTCACTGAGTTACGCAAGCCCCTTTGCCACGACAAGGCAGTGATCCATGAAGGGGGAGGAGTATGAAAGAAGTATTTAAAATTAAAAAGTATTTAAAAGACATGGAAAAAGAAGAGATTCCCCACTCCCCACTCTGCCCTTTGTAGCAGAACCTGGGTTCATCCAAACAGTTGAACAGTATGAGATTAGGGTAGAGAAACAATCAGATGTATACAAGATTTAGTGATGGGTAGGTTTAAAAGAATATTAGACAAATTCATGGAGATGAGCCTGTAGCTACTAAATTATATGTTACTTTTAGTGATGCCAGAGCAAACCTTGTTTTCTTTAAAATAGCAACACATATGCAAATATGTCATAATGCACATGATGCCTTACGTGCTTACCCTCACATCTAAGGGTGGCCCATGAGTTGTAGTTTTTACAGAAAGTCTTCAGGACATATATTTCATCATTTGACTAACTTGCCCCCACTGCATATGGCTCTGACTACTTTGAGGTGAGAATTAAAAATAACATGAATTAATTGCCAGTTAATAGAAAAGAAGAATGAGACAAAGCAGTATTTTAGGGATTTCCTTAGGTTCCTTTGATTTGATTCAATTTGGTTCCTTCTATGTTAGCTTTGCCCATCTGGAACAAAATCTCACTTTGATGTATTACAATTTTATATGTCAGATATCTCCAGGGAATCATGGCTTTAATTAGCAATGGGGTGCTTTGTAGCAAGAACATAAATAAATGTGAAATGATTTTGCTCTCTCAAAATCTACGTTTAAGGAAATGCATTCTCTTTTTGAATGTACACATTGATAGCTTTTCACTGAATATGTGTCATTTCTTTAGATTATCCTTTAAATACAGAGTCATCATACAATTCAGCATCTTCATTTGGCCAATCAAGTTCCACGTTCTCTTATGTACCACCTGGTGGAAATGTGAGTATTACTATTACTATTATTATTATTAATAGGCTGGAGATTCCACTGGAGTCATTTTATATTCCATATCGAAATTGTTCCTGGATGCTGGGCTGCATGATAGAGATAGGCCAGATCCATTACCAAAGCAATGAGGAGGAAATATGGCTTAAGCCCAAAATAAGAAGGCATGCACAAAAATTCAGGCAGACACCTCCCTAATTCAGTATAAGCATGGGGGAGGTGGATAAAGCACAGTCAGACTTGCAAGAATTTGTTACTATACCCAATATTAATAAACATGGTTTTAGGTATCCTGTGGACTTGATTTCTTGCTTTGGGCTACATAGTGTGGCTGACATCAATCTTGCAAGTCTCACCATCAAGGTCATCTTTCTTATTTTCTGCAGGATCCTACTGACATTTCATGTATGTGCTTGCTCTTTTTTCTAGTGAGATGAATAAATATTTATCAATACATCTTGTAGAATAATTGTTTCTTGAGGAGATACTTTTTAAATTGTTTTCCCAAAGGATTTCATCAAACCAATTATCTGCTCAACATAACCATATTTTTATCCTAATCTAAACCTTGGGAATAAAAGTGTAGTTATTGATCTGCATTTCCTGTTAATAACTTATCTACAGGAGTCCAGTAAACCGTTAATGCATATACATTTTTACTTTGCATAATCAAAATTATTGTTCAGGAAACCTTCTACTGACAAATTAGAATTAGAAGCTAATACCACTTCTCTAAGCAATGGGAAAATATTACAGTCAAGTGTTAATCTCTGGCTTGAGTGGTTTGCTTTATAATGGTGCAATTACTAATGATTTGTTTTACAATTGTGTAATTAGTATAAGGAAGAAAAATGGCATAACTATATTACGGTTACAGTTTCTAAGACCATTTTATAAATCTGCTTAATGTCAGAACATCTCAACTGCCACACAAACAGTCAGTGTGTTCTACACTGGGCCAAAATCATCGAGATGATACATGGAGACTGCAATTCAAATCCCAGCTCTTTGAACACACTAGCTGCACCCCATATCTATTTAACAGGAAAAAAGGGTTCTTCATAGGAAGCTGTGGTAAAGTGGATGCAGTTAGCAAGAAATAAGAGAGAATGTATACTTGTAGAATATACTGATTCTTTGTGTGATAGTTGAGTTATCCTGATATTAAGTAGATACCCAGTATTTGTCAGAGTACAGAGGAAAGCCATCAATCCAAACTAACTTCCATCTTTGTTTGCGGAATATAGATTCTTAAAAAAATAGCTTACCAGGAAACCCTTCTTGAACTCTATGGGTTCTCATCTGGTGCCTTGCCTCCTTCATTGCTTCTATGGGATTGAAGTTGCCTTAGAGGAGTCAAGCTCCAAAGGGCTCTCAGAATCTTAAGTCAGGTTTTGTGGTTCAGCATTCAAAGCCTGTTCATGTTCTTTAGCTGCAGACCAGATGTGATCAAGTCATTCTCTTTAGTCTCAAATTTCAGCTGCTACTGAAAGTGGGAGCAAATGGCAAAACATGAGTCACAACAGTGTGATGCAAACCATGTGACTTATGTACTTGCCTCTGATGTTTCATTATTTTTCCATCATTGTGATTTGTAGCAAGTCATTGATGGTACAGTTATATATTGAGTATTAGAGAAATGGGGTATACTTTAGACATGGATGATTATATGCGTGGTGATTAGTAGAAATGTGGATTTATAGATTTCCTCAAAAGTATTCCTGTAGTCTATATCTTACATGAAAGTGTTATATAAGCCAGTCTTTCAATATGTTATTAGTTGCTACACAATTACATGAGAGTATTAATTATCAACCAAACTCTTGGGCTACAATAAAAGGGAGATTATATGGACTCCATGCACAAGTACTTGAGATTCTGAAAAGGTCAGCTATGTACAAACTCAGTGCAGGATAAGAAGTGTGATTTCAAATGTGTATGTTTAGCTGGTGGTTGTTTTACCACTCTGTTTCTGAATTTATTTTTTAATAATTTCAGGTTCTACAAAGGAAATGTGTCCCAGGGCGTGTAGTACACATCTGTAATCTTCCTGAAGGAAGCTGTACAGAGAATGATGTCATCAACCTTGGACTTCCCTTTGGAAAAGTCACTAATTATATTCTCATGAAATCTACCAATCAGGTATTCCTTTTTTTCAGTTATAGTAAAAATGTAAATATGTAAAACTTTTGTTTAAGTTTTGTACATTCTATAAAAAATGGTTAGGGAATTCTGATGATTGAACTTGTTGGGGCTGATGGGATTTGGAGATGTAGAGGAAACAAGGTATCTTAGAATTACCTTGTTTAGGAAAGTATACTTTGAACATCCTTTTTTGAGTATGTGCAAGATACATGAGGAGATGCAGCAAGGTTACTTTGCTAGGACTGTTGAGAGTATGTGTGTGTAATAGAGAGAAAAAGAGGGAGAGGCAAGATAGGTAGTAAACACAGCCCCATCTTCCTTCAGTCACTAACAAAGTGTCAGCCTTTTCCCAATCTTCAGGCAAGTAGCTAGGCTTATATAGCAGAAAGGGCTTTCTCTTTGTTCACCTGTTCTCTTGGTTTGCAGGAGATTGATCTATCCTGTCTGTCTGTCTGTCTGTCTACACACCCACCCACCCAGAGAGGAGCCACAGGCACACACGTACATACATACTGTATACACAAATACACACACATTCATTCTCTGAAGACGTTGGTTCCATAACAGTTGTTTTTAAAATTTCTAAACTTCGTTATGTTCTACAACTGATGATCTATCATTATACCATCTTTTTTCCTATAGTTGAAGATACTAGCCTCCTGTATTTTTCTGCAACTAAAATTATACCAGAGTATCTGATTAGCAGAAAACAAATAAATATTCCTATATTTATTTGTGGATAAATATATTGAAATATTTTATATTTAGAAAAATTACATTTATTTTTAAAATTATAATCTTAATATACTATTACTGTAGTTTTTGCATTTTTCTTGTGTGTACTAAATAACTAAACTCTCAACTGTTTTTGTATTATAACAGGCTTTTCTAGAGATGGCCTATACTGAAGCAGCTCAGGCTATGGTAGAATATTATAAAGAGAAACCTGCAATGATAAATGATGACAAGTTACTCATTAGGATGTCTAAGAGATACAAAGAACTTCAGCTAAAGGTGATATAATTGTTTATCATGTCATTCTGTTAAACAGGCTGCTCAGAAATGGTCTTCAACTGCACATTTTTGTTTACAGATAAAATTTAAGTATTTCCTTTCCTTTCCTGTAGCCAGTTAATTATTAATATGTACATGCATTATTCATTAATGGAGCCTATTTCCTGTTTAATTTGCTTAAATATACTAAATGAGGCAAACAAAACTTGTAATTCATGACTTCTTTTAATGTTCTTTTTCATTTGGCCTTTGATTATGAGATTGACTAAGTGATTGCAGTTACATTTTTCCCACAATTCAGAATGCAAATCCAACCTGGTTTCTTTAATAATTAATAAAATAATAATTATTATTTTAAAAAATAATAATTGGAGCCTTTTTTCTTAAAAGACCATTCCCTCAGAACATTTTGTGATATTGGCTTTGTGGTGGAAGGGCACTTTGGTGGAGCAGGCTTCCCATGCCTTCTTCATCTCCCTTCCTCCCTCTCTTTTCCAGCATCCTTCCCATATAATGTCTTGTTGTAATGCCCTTTAGAGAAAAGAGGGCAGTCCATGTAAAGTATACTTTTGAGATACATTTTTTGTGCTTTCCTTTTCTTTTCTTCCACATCTCTGTACTAACAGATAAGGAATTCCATACCCACCCCTACAAAGAGACAAGGCAATCTTGTGTACTGATGCCTTGTTTCTTCTAAAAGTAATCACAAGTACATTTTGCTGTTTTTTCCCTTCAAATACTCCTCACTGTTTGGTAAACTTGGATATTCAGTGAGCCCTAACATAATATGTGTTCAGAGCTAAGAAGTTCAGATGAAGTCATTGACTAAGAGCTTTAAGATAGGACATCAGTACTTTGATTAGTGATGACTCGTTTTTTTTTAAAATTACCATGAACAAGAATATATTGTGGAATTAAATATACTATTTCCATAGATTTTTTTTTTTGTGGAAAAAGGCAGTCCAGAGGCATAAGCAGCTGATCAGCATCCCTTATACAGACCCCAGAGCCCCCCACTAACATGTTGGAGCAAATGTTTAGCAACAGCTCCCATGATTTTTTGCAAAGTCGCTTATACTTGTGTCTTCCAGTTACCAGTTTTATTACAGTTCATACCACGAAGTCTGACTGAGAGTTGCAGTAGTACTGGGGAGTATTCTGTATGCAATATGAAACAAATTATAAGGAAATGAAATTTATTAGAAGGGATTAAGAACAGATTAATTGAAGAGTGCCAAGCTTGCCAAGGGGAAGGCAGATGATCTGCTTGCAACAAGAGACTGGTAATTAAGAAAGGGTTGCTTTCTTAAAAACCAAAAGAAAACCTAGAGGGAGGGAGGGAGGAGTAGTAAAATGAAAAAAACAGTGAAGTATGTAATAACTTTGAATGAAACTAGTTGATTTTATGGAATAGAATCAATGAATACTGTAGGTAGGTGCAGTGTAGATTTAACTATGAATGAAAGAACTAATATAGCTGTCAGAAAATATGTGTTGGCATCATATAGATTGCTCTGGATATATAGAAGAATAGAAGTTCATAACTTGTTGATAGTTGCATGGTGCTCCAATAAGTGGGGATAATGAAGAAACAGAATGAGTTCTGAGGAAAAATTATTCTCCTAGGCAATATGAATGGATGGGTGGGAATTAGTGCAAAAGTTACTGGGCCATTTGAAGTCTCAAAAATGAATCAGACTAGTGATTGTTTCCTAAGCAACTGCTTAGGAAAAGCTGTTTGTTTGGTGGATGGGTGGGAATTAGTGCAAAAGTTACTGGGCCATTTGAAGTCTCAAAAATGAATCAGACTAGTGATTGTTTCCTAAGCAACTGCTTAGGAAAAGCTGTTTGTTTGGTTTAAGCATTCTTTATTTTCATATGTACAAATCAACAGGGAATTAATTGAAAAGCATGACTGATTTGATTGTTTATGTTGAAAACTGAAAAGAATTAATGAAGGATGCAGTGGTAAGGACAGGCCATTGAAGATACTATCTATGCAAGCAAACTTTATTTTTAGAAATGTTGAAGTATACATTTATTTACAGTCATTATATGTTTATTTTGCTTAGAAACCAGGAAAGAATGTGGCAGCAATAATCCAAGATATCCATTCTCAAAGAGAAAGAGATATGTTGCGAGAAACAGACAGGTATTTTTTCATATTGATATTGTTCTATTTTTGCGACAGATGGAAGAAAAGATGTGATTTCAGCAGAGGAGAAACTATTACTAGGTCCTTCCATATAAATTGGAAAGAAGCTACAAAGTTTGAAAAAAAATATTCATGCAAGACAGACTTTCAAATATAAGACTGGTGGTTCCTTAAGATTTGAAGTTTTCTCCTATTTGAATAATAATGAATAAGTTCTAAATTGTGTTTTCTTTGTTAAAAAAAAATCACTTTTATTCTGCATGGACTGCTTGCATATACCTGATAAAAGCAGTCCAGGCAGGATAAACAAGAAGCCAGTTTTTCTACCTTTTCTTGCAAGGAGCAACTTTGTCACTCCATGTCTTTCCTCCTTCTGGAGAGTGTGGAACAGCTGAGCTACTCTTGCGAATGATCCTGATATTCTTGCAAATACTCCAGTACTGAAGATCTTGGCTAGCCTTTCCAAAGGGGGAAGATATCAGGCAGCCAAGATGGGTAGAAATGGCCAGAAATGGAGAGATGCAGTACAGAGAAGTGGAGATGGGGGAATGGCTTTGCTTCAGTTTCAAAGGTCTTGGGAATCATCCCATCCTTGCATTAGGAACTATGATAGGTAAGAGAAGGATATCTATCTAAATATCCTTTTCCTGAATAAATATCCAATATCACCACCAGAGTTGTTTAATTACATAAAGTCAATTTATATTATTATTGTTACTATTGCCTTTCATATTGTTAGCATTTATTCAAATCTTAGGCAGATGGTCATTTCCCTTGACCATAGTAGTATATTAGCATTTTCCACTTGTTTCTGCTTCTCTGATTATACACGATAGAAAGCCACACTGAAAATATTGTTATTTTAAAACAAGTATGATACCCACTGTTATTATTGACTGACAATTTGAAATGCATGCATGCTTTTAAAAACAGATAAACATGAAATAGTTGTGGACCTTAAGTAGCAGCTGATTTATTTAAGAATGCTTATATGGAACATGCCACTCTTTCCCTGTACTGTAGATATGGACTGGAAAGGCCTCGTTCTCGCAGCCCCATAAACTGTTCACTTTCCCCAAGATCACGGACTCCAAGCTTCACTTCCTGTAGTTCCCCCCGTAGTCCATTAAGCACAAACCGAACAGAGTGGGGAAATGGAAGAGAGCCATGGGATCAGTCTCCTTATTCTCGAAGAGAGGAAGATAAAGAATTACCGCCTTGGAGAGAGAATGGAGAAGAGAAAAGAGATCGGTGTGACATGTGGATGCATGAAAGAAAACATTATATACGGCACCTAGACTTGGAAGAGCACGTTGAAACAACTAGAGGACACAAAGAAAAATATTTAAGAGGGGGTTCACCCAGTGCAAAAGGGGCTTACCTTTTGTCTGGGTATAAGATGAGAGAAGAAGACTGTTACAGAAAATCATCTAAGCAAAAGTCTGATAAATATCAGACACTGGATGCTGCTTTGAAGTGCAAAAGGAAGGAAGAGACAAGACTGAGAGAACGCAAACATTCTCATTGTGAAGACACAGCTAAGGAGGAAATGTCAGAACAAAAGCCCAACATGATGCCTGACAGTGTCAGGCAAAAGCAAAGTGATAAAGAAAAATTAAAAGACACTGCTAAAAAGCCAGAGGAGGAGATACCTGGTATAGCTGAAAGAAATAATGTAAAGAAAGGAAAAGGAAATGAAAATGAGGTAATGAGTAATATAAACTATTATGAATATAAAGATAATTATTTTAATCTACTATTATTAACATTAATTATGAAAGAACTTCAATAGTTCTTGTTAGCTACATTGTTTTGTTTAATTAGAATATAAATTTATTTCTGCAAGTTCAGAGGAGTACTCAAGCTAGTCTTTTCCAGCAAAAACAACAAAGAATCTTGTAGAATCTTAATAACTAGTAAATCTGTTACCAGGTAGAGTTTGTGGATTAGGATCAATTTACTAGACATAGTCTGGAGTGAGATCCATGCATTAATAAGTTTAGTAGATTTTAAGGTGCCACAGGATTTTGTCATTCTTGCTAGAATCCCAAGTCTTTTAAAACTTAGAAGACAGTTTAGTAGTTCCTGAATCTAATTTAAAGCAACTGGTGATAACCTTCCACCCAAAGAACATAAAATTTAGTAGAATACAACAAAGTAATCTGCAACAATTTTGTTAAGATGCATAATACAGATAGATGTAAAGGCAGCAACATGTGATAATATTTGCATATATTCTTTCTGTCTAACGTTGAATAAAGCTAAGTATCCTTGCCCATGTGTTCATTTTTATTTGTGCTGAAAACTATCTGATTATACATTGAAATATATTATTACATTTATCTCTGTATCATTTCAGTTCTGTGAAGTAAATTATTTTTATTTTCATATCATAACACCCATATAAAGTTATAATAGAGAGATAGTAATGTACCAGCTTATTTTAATGTAGACATGCTCTCTGGTATGACTTCCACTTACTGATAACTCTTATATTCAGAATTACAACTTTGTTCTGGTGATTGATTGGGAGCCTGTGTGTTTTGCATAGGCTCACAGGTTTGGTTTGGGTTTTTTTCTCTCTGAAAGGATAAATATCATGCCACATATTGGAAAGTGATTTAGAAATCCTGGTCAGCCTCAAAGTAATCTTCTAGGCAGCATTTTCTTAAAGGTTTAGAAAATGCTTTGTTTTGGCAGGTGCAACTGTTTAAGAAAATAGAGATATTTCAAAAATTGCAGGAGGGGGTAAAATCTAGTTATGAGTTTTCATTAGCAGAAGCAGGGATGTGGGGTAATTCCATTAAACCTCTGCATTGCCCATATCCCAGTCAATCCAACCATCTGGAACAGGCTTTAACGTTGCTGTGCAGAATTTTGAAAGAGAGATGGAGTTAATCTCACAGATGTGGTGAATGTTAGCTTTTCACAAACTTCATTTTCAGTCAGAAGATCTTGATGGTGTTGAAACTATAGATGTTTCAACCCCAAACCCTTATCTTTACAAGATAATGTTTTGCTTACATTTATGACTAATTATGATTTCCATTTGTGCAGAAGGTATAGGAATATTTTTAAGGCAATAAATTGGACAGAAATGCCCCCACTGCATTCATTTTAAATCTACTGTTCCTTCATGACTACAGAAAAAAGTTATCATTTTTATCTTATTTTATTTTAACAAATAATTAAAAGCACAACCAGCAAAAGAGGAAAAAGAAATGAACAAAAAAAGAAATAGAGAACACATTTACAAGATCTATAAAATTAAAAAAGAATTTTCATAGTAGTATTAGATTTCTACTACTACTAAGGCTGATCTAATTTAGCATTTTAAAACCACTGACAAAATCAAATCAATAACTTAGCAAAGATAGTCAGTATAATAAGAATCATCTGTCAGGATGAATAATTAATAGGAGTTTCTGTCTAATCTGAGAAAGCCTATACTTATTAAAATGAATCAGCCAAAATCTAATATGTGAAAACTTGATGTTAAAAGAAACCAAACTTCAGAGTTGGTACAGGTCCATGTACAGAATTATAGTCCATAAATAGTTTCTATTTCTAAACTATTTCTAAATAGGTTAAATTAAATTCAGTGTTTTTTTTAAAATGAAGTTATAAGAAGTATCAAGTATCCTAGCAGCTATTATAATGTACAGTGCCAACTCGGTATACTTTGTAGGAAAATAAGGCTCAGTAATGTTTAATAGAAAAACAGCTGGACTGCAGAAGTTGTTGACTGTGAGCGATGTTCGCTGAATGGTGTCTTATACCATTTCAACAAAAGATTCTGCTCCCTTGTATCTCCAGAATTGTGAAAAGAACATCTATTCATTTTTAATTAACACAGATAAATTGATAAACGTATGACGTTTATCATAAATATGACGTTCAGATTTAAAGAATCAAAATAAAATAGCCTGTCTGAAGTAGGGATGTGCAGGGATTACCTGGTCTAGAGCTTCAGAAATAGCCTGATTCTGTGTGGATTGTTTTGGAGATGGTTCAGTTTAATTCAGTGCTCGGAACCAGAGCAATATTTAGAAAAATGAAATTGTAATTTTCTGAGACTTGCAAGGAAACTAAAATCAATAGCAAGTGAACTCAGAGGTCTGTTGGAGTTCCAGCAAATATCAGGTTAATTGAAATCTCTCATTAGAACTGTAGATTGCCATCTTGTGAAGTTGGTAAGTTGATTTAGATGGGCATCAGCCATATCCTCTTCCTGGAAGTGTAGTCTGTAGTAAGCTCCCACATGGTAACATTTTTGTTTTTACTCCTTGTAATTTTATCCAAATGGTTTCAACAGAACTCCCATATTTAAAGTCATATATTTTTTCAGAGGTATGCAAACATTTCCATTTTTGCTATGTGTATTTCTCTTAGATTCTACATTCCAATCATGACTTTCATTCCACCAAATTTCCATGGTACCTATAAAATCATTTGCTTGCCTGTGTGAGGATTTGTTGTTTCTCTCATTTGCTACCAACACACTGTGTTTTAAAATAATTTCTAGAGTAATTTCATTGCTGTGTTCTCTATAAAAGCTTCTACAGTAGGAATTGTCTGAATCAAATTTCTTAAACAGTAGTTGAAAGTTTTTTGTGCAAAGGCAATTATGGAATTATGATCCTCTTTTGAAATGTGATAGGACTGGTTGGGATTGTGGCAGAAGTATATGGAAAAAACTCAATGGTATTTTCCATAAAGTAAATTAGTTACTATGCTAAATAATGGAAGTCAAAAATGCCATTGTACAACCGCTTATGATGGCAAATTAGATTACAGTGAAGCAACATTATGGGCAAATAGATAAGTATCTCTATGTCCAATTTCCAGCCTTCAAAATGTTGTGACTAGGGCCACCAACAGAGGTCTTTTTGATCTGAAGATAGTTCTATCAGTTACTGAATATAATACTCCACCTTCTTCCTTCCTCATGCTGACAATTTTTGATGAATGATGAAAATATGGCTTTAATTTGTTTGAGGTTTCTTGGCAGCTCCCACACTGCAACACCTCAGAGCTCCAGTGAAATTGATTAAGACTAGAGGTTTGATGGAAGGCAGGCCCTTCAGACGGTTACTTATGCCCTGGTCACCTCATGACTGGATTGCAATGCGCTGTACATGAGGCTGCCCTTGAAGACCATCTGGAAGCTACAGATGGCTCAAATGCAGTGGTGCAAGAGTAACAGGCACTTTTTGTTATGCCCATGTGTCACTGCTTCTACGCAAGCTGCATTGGTTGCTAGTCAGCTTCCAGCTACAGTTCAAGGTGCTGGTTGTCACCTATGAAACATTTCATGGCATAGGGCCTGGTTATATGAGGGACCCTCTATCTCCAATTGTTTCTGCCCATCCAGTATATTCTAGCAGAGTGGATGTGTCGCTCTACAGGTAGTCCTCACTTAATGGCCACAATTGGGACCGGAATTACTACCGTTGAGTGAAGTGGTTGTTAAGTGAGATGCCCATGTGATTGCTTTGCTCAATGACTCCAAACCAGGCACTCCTGGTTGTGATTGTTAAGCAATCTCCTGGGTCGTTAAGCAGACAGAGCAAAAGAGTTGCCTACTGAAGGATTTCAGCTCTATGTTATATGAACCAGGCCACCAAGGTGCTAAAATTTTAAGAAATTTATTCTTCCCCTAATACTAAAGGCCCTCAGCAGGTGACCCAGATACTGAGCAACTTAGACATTTTATTTAATTAATGGAATAATGATCCTACTAGATCATTCTCAAATACATGCACACAAACACACAATCATCTGGAAGTATAGACAAGAACAAATTAAAGTCAGACATAGGAATTCCAACAAAGAGCAAGGGATAACAGCACTCAGTCCAAATAATTTGAACATCAAGATTGGAAGATAGCTGGTATATTGGTAAGAGTATAAAGAGGTTCAGGGACTCACTTCAGATACTGCTTAGCACTGTTTGCATAAACAGGAGTACTAAGTGATAATTTTTAGGAAGACACAGGAACTGCAGGCAGTCAAGACCATCTACAAGAAACTCTTCAGAAGTATTATCTTTTTCTCAAATCTGTTATTTAAGATTAGGCCAATTTCTCCCTCAAGCCCTTCTCTTATCAACTAACAGAGCTTGAGGGAAAAATTATCTCCCTCTCTCTTAAAATATTTCACAGTTTGAGGATAGAGTACACACAAATACTGCCTCTATATAGTTTAAGATCTGAGACCTTTCCCCAGGATGGAAAGTGCTACCTGAGAAAATGCCCCCCCCCTTTTTTGGAGGTATCTTATTTATTGAATACCTTCTCCCTCAAAATTGGTCTGCTTCTTACATTAATATCATCTAAATACCTGTAAAGGTTATCTATTTAATGCTGTTTACATTTTAAGTATGTGTTTTGTCTGATACTTTACTTCATATACTCAGTATAATTACTATTCTATTTCATAATATGATTTGAAAATTTTGTTAAAGAACAAAATGTGAGTACTGTAACTACATAAATCCATACTTATTTATGGATAATAAATGCTATTATTTATCATGACATCTGAGTTGCTGTAGATCTTAACTTAATAAATATTAATATTGTATGTATGCATACATGCTGTGGCCTTCACTTATTAACTTGCATGTATAACTCAATAAAAGTTATACATGTAAGTTAATATGTGAAGGCCACAGCAGATGGCAGCACCTAACCAGCCTTAGATGATTTTTTAAAAATCTAGGGTAGGAACTGATCAGAGTTTGGATGGTGGACTATGTGTGCCATCTTGAGCTCCTGAGTGAAAGGCAGGACATAAATCTAATAAATAAGTAACAAAGGAGGCGATCATGATTTATTCTTATAAACAATTTGTGATATGCAATTACGAGAATCAGATTGACATGTTTATTTATTGTAATTGTGCTAATAGAATTTGCATTTTTGTTGCAGGATTGGGAGAGTGGAAGTGACATGGAAGCTGAAACTTGGTATCCAACCAATATGGAAGAGCTTGTAACTGTTGATGAGGTAGGAGAGGATGATCTTATTATGGAACCTGATATAACTGATGTTGAAGAAATAATAACTGTAGGTCAGGAAGATGAAGAATGTTCCATAAGGAGTGCCTTAGCTGCTGGATTGGAGGTAAAGAATGAACACAGCTTATTAAATACAAAGGAAGATAAATCTAATACAGTGGAAGCCATCATAGGATCAGAAAAAGAAAATGCAGGGGAAGTAAGTGGTTCTGAAGATAATAGTACAGCTACTAAAGCAACTTATCTAAACTTTGATACTGAAGATAAGACAGATGAATTGCATGAAAGCAGATCTGAACAGGATTCAGATCAGCATGATAATGAAAGAAAAACAAATGAAAATTCTAATATTCAGTTAAAATTGGAGAAACAGTACATATCTTCAGATCCTCCAAAAGAAGAACTCTTCCAGCAGAGTGACACATTTGTAGATGATTATAAAGAGACAGAAACTCTGGAAAGCAGGAATAATAAAGATAAAGATATCCTGGCAAAAAAATCTCAAGAAGAAACAAACTCTGGACATGAGGAAACTCCAAAGACCGAGGGTATGTTGCACATTTTTCCTTCTTTTTATATATGCAATATATCTTAAGTTTAATATATTTCAGTACAAATGTGTGCTACTTAAGGATTTTAACTTTCTTAGCAATGAGCTGGATTGAAGAACTGTCAACATTAAATCATATCAAATGGCGTCAAGGATATTAGATAAATGTTTAGCAAGTATTCTGGAAGAGTTATCTGTTATGACCTCTTCCAGGTTCTTACAATTTGAAACTTTAGAGTGCCATCTTAAATTACTTAGAATTGTTGGTGTGAAGAATAATTACTCTTCATTTATGGCTTGTTGATTTTTTAAAAGTCCTTTGATATCTCATGAGGCAGATCAGGTTGCTGTGAAATGGGGTTTTGGATTCTCACATTTCATTTTGAACAGATTATGTGGGGAGATGTGGGCCTCTAACTGTTTGCTTGAGCCTTACTCCTTCTAGCTGATTAAGTCAATCAGTTTGCAACTGAATCCATAGTTACTGGAGGTGATTAATGAATTTGTGAGTGAGGGAAGTGTTCCTACTTCCTTAAAGGCAGTTACTTAACCTTTACTGAAAAAAAACCTTCATAAATCAGCAAGAATGTTTTAATTACACCCTCTCTTCATTGAGCGACCACAATCCATTTCTTAAACCAGAAGCAAAATGGTTGCTAAGTGAACGTGACTGGAAGAGAGAGAGACAGACGCAGCGAAGATCACTGGTTGCTGCTGTCTCATTCAGATAAAGTTCTCTCGTACAGTTATACTGTACCATTGTTACTCTCATTCCAGGGTGCATTGTTGTTGGGTCCATGAAATTTGGTTGGAGGTGCATGCATTGGTTGGAAAATGATTTTTTTTTTAAATTACTGTCATATTTGCAGTCACTAAATGAGGTAGCCTCTAAACAAGGAGTGGCTGTATATATCACTATCAAATCTTCCATTCTTTGGTAAGGGGATTGAAAAAAGCGGTGGCCTCAGAGCATCAGAAGGGTCTGGATGTAACTGATTATCTGGATCCATTTTAGTCAGGCTATCACCAAGTTTATGGTGCTGAGATTGCTGTGATCACTGGAAGCTAGATGAGAGTAATGCAACTATGCAGGTTCTCCTTGATCTTGGTGGCTTTCAATACTATTGACTGTAGGATCCTTCTGGTAATCTCTCAGGGTGAGGCACTGTGGGAACTATTTTAAAGTGGTTTCAGTGTCTTTGTTGGGGCAGTGCTGAAATGGTGCTGCAATTTACTATTTGATATTTATGTCATTAGTTTATGTGAGCTACAGGGTTCTTGTTCCCTATGTTGTTTAATATCTACATTTAAACTACCACTTAAGCTCATTTGGAGCTTTGGAATGGGTTCTAATTCTATTGCTCCATACCATCTAACTCCAAGGAAACAATGAGCACTCTTCAACGTTGCTTAAAGTTGATAATGAGGCAGACAAGGGAGAACAAGCTGAAATTAAATCTAGTTAAGATAAAATAGCTGGAATTGAGAACTAAGGTGAAGCCTATTCTGGATGGGACTGAGCAATCCCATAAAAAGCATATTTGCCATTTGGAAATGCTCTTTGAACTTCTGCTGTCCCTGAAGCTGTTCCTGTGATGAGGAATGCATTTACGCCACTGTGGCTGGGGTATCAATCGGAACTCTTCTTGAGATGATTGGATGTGGTGAGCTTATTGAAACTTATCTATACCTCGGCTACATCCTATCTTGACTACTGCAATTTATTTATAAATATATCTTCTTGACATTCTACTTATGTATTTGCTGCTGCTAGGGAAAAAAAGACATGAAAAAGGAGCAGCAGATTCTGTTCTCACCTCAAGCAGTAGATCTGCCTCCATCTCAAGCAACATATCTTCTGAAGTCACCCTTAAGAAGACCCTATTCATATTCTGATTGTTCAGACTAAATCTGTATACCTTAGGTTGCTGGTTATATGCAAGATCTCTACTAACATTTCTTTAAACATTTTTTACTAAAATATTTTTCTATTTTTTTTCCTCTGGGATGTAATTCTTGGACCACTTTGATAGCTTTTCATGAGAGGTCAGAGTATTTTAAAATAATAAAATATCAAAAACATTTTTTTTTCAGAGTATAAAAACCTCTGGCATCTTAGTCCTCACATAACATTTTAGGCTGCAGCGCTAGGTTCACATATTTTTCTTTTTTCAAAATTCATCAATAAACAATATTTATGAAGGATAACCTCAGAATTAGGGTTTACTGTGTTATAGTCTAGATCCCAATATGGTGATTGACAGTAAGAGTATGCCTACCAACAAATGTTTGGCATTTGCTAGACTCCCTGCCTTGCTTAATTTTTAATATATTTTTAAATTAAAAATTGGTAGTTTAATGTAATTAAATGTAATTGTAAAACTAAATGGCTATCACAAGTTTGTTTGTTTCCTTATATAAGTCTGTCTGCATAGTGCTTGCCAGGACGGGCAGAAAATAGATTTACAGTTGCATCCATCCTTCGAACCAAATTAGATGATATTTGTAGATGTAAAACCAAACTGAAATGCTCCCAAAATACAGATCTGATCAGAATGTAAGCAAGAATATTTATTCCGTGACTTCTCACAACATACTGCATGGAAAATATGTTTAGTATGACATTTTCTATGTTACAGAATTATTCTTTTTTATTAGTATTTGTTGGAGAATTGAAGTCAGCAGGAGCCCTTGTTAGAGGATATGCTCCTGAATATGAGCAGAGTGCTGAAAGAAAAGTGAGCTAATTAAGTAGCAGAACATTCCATTAAAAAGAAAAATATTCATCATATACAGTAGTTGTCCTGGATGCAGAGTATGGGCTTATCCCAGATTTCGATGAGTGCTAACAATCTTCTGCATCTGAAGTCAAAGCTTGTTTTATTGAGAAATATGAGGGTAGAAAAGCAGCATTCTCCTTCTGCTTGTCTATCTCTTGCCATTTGCTTTGCGGTCCAAATTGCTTGTGGATGTGAAGAGATGATGCAGCCTGCAATAATAGTAGTAATAGTATTGTGCTTTACTGATGCATACCAATAGAAAGAAAACAAACTTTGTACAACTGTTTGCCTTTGCATTTTTTTTTTTATTCTGTCATGTGAATTGCTCAATGGGCAATCCCATTTAAAGCAGGGGGCTTATTTCTCAAGAAAAAACTCTGGGAAGGACTTCAGCATCTTCTTTTGCAGGCTTTGGGCTGTAGCGGACAAAACAGATAGTGTTGTGTTGAGACCAAAGGCACCCCTTCCTTTCCATTTCCCTTGTCACTTGATTATGCTCAAAATATTCACTAGAAAGAGCGTGCCAGAGAGCAGGTTATTGTCCAAAAACAATAAATGCCTGACTCTTTCTTTCTGCTTCACTTCAGAGGGTAAGATCCTTAAGAGATGAGAGGCCACATTTTCTCTAGGAGTTTTAGCTGCAACAATGTGCAGAAACACTCCTTGCTTAGTTAGTAGTTATTTGAACCAAGGAAAAAGGAAAACAGTACTCACATGGCAGGGGCATTTGCAGCTTCCTCTAATCCCAAACAATTATTATTCTAATTATTTATATCTCCTATTTCAGGGCAATAGTCCTCCCAAACAGCTTACAAGCAACCTAAACAAGTGCAATATTATTTTAAAACAAACTAAAGGATTTCCCCCAGGGCTATTGATGATAATGTTCTGGGGGCAGGGAAGTCCAATTAGAGCAGACAGCTTCCAGACGGAATTTCTCTGTTGTCCAGTGAGCATGGACAAGAAAACAGCCAGAGTCAAAAATGTACAAGCCTGCTGGCAAGATGACAGGGGGACATCTACTAGCCAGCCAAGCAAGTACTTAGGACATAGTTTCTGTTGTTAGCCCCACATTAGAAGTTGGTCCTGCATTTATCTTTGGAACCATCTCAGCTTGCTAAAGATTCTTTTTCATCTCTTTGCAGTAATTGTTCATAGATTTATTCTGTCTTATTCATGGTTATCACAATTTAACTATTAACTTGTGCTTATGTGGAATAAAATAATGAGCAGTTGCTGGCTTGAAAAGGAAATGTGAAATTAAAGATCTATCTGTCTTCATGGAATTTTTCAGTTTTAGTCCCACACTTTAAGGATATTTTTGTTTGTAAGAAAATAAACATTTAGATAGAAGCCTCCTACAGGAACATTTTATTTAATAGGAGAGTATCCCAGAATATTTTACGTAACAGGAGTATATCCCAGAAAAGTCTAAATAGTGATTTAGACTTTTTAGATCACTAGGCTATAACTGCAATTTGTGCTTTAGGACCATGGTGTTTTATAGGACATGCGATTTGTGTTTTATGAGATCTATGGGAAAGAAACAAACCAACCAAGATTACAGTTCCCAAAATACTGGAATGCAACAATTTAACAACTTCACCTAAATTCTTAAGAAGAAAAAGTGGATGGAACAAAACATAATAATTTTGGAGAACATCATGTGGAAGTATCCCTGAGTGATCTAGACAATGTTTTGTGGGTTACTATTGTAGGCTTATCTCTGTGTTAACAAACTAGTTTTATTCAAAATGTTCCTCTGCTTTTAAAGCAAATTGTAGGTATCAAGAAATAAAAAATCCTGACTTCCCAGAAGTTGAATCAAAAAAATCCTATTTTTCACCATCATGGGAACAAGAAGATGTGTTTACGGAACTCAACATTCCACTAGGTATGTCTAATTAGAAGTGAGTCACATATAATGTAACTTTTTACAATATCTTTATCATGCAAAATAATAAATAAAACATGCATTATTTTGCATTAAAAGATATCAGTTTACTCAGAGAAGTTTTCCATCTTGAGAACAGTATTAAACCTCCAGACCCAAGTAAGTAATATAGTTAGACAGAATTTGAAAATCACAGAAGTCTAGTTACTTAAATATGTAATGTGACGTATCCAGTTCTGGACAGAGTTAGATTTCAGTAATTAAGATGACAAGAGCATGGACCACTTTTCTCTAATAAAACCAAGAGAAATCAGTGGATTTTTGCTAATCAAGTACAGGGAAGCAACCTGATGCAGGTGAGTGAATAAGTGAGAAAAGTAGATTGAGGAAACAAAATATAGACAAATCTTTCTGCTTAGCTCTTAGAATGGATGATGATGAGAATGATGATTATGATGATACTGATGATACTGATATAATATATGGAAATGGTAATAGTCAAGGAGAGGAAAGATGAGAAGTTCAGTTTTCCGCATATTGCATATTTAAATTGAAATGTTAAAAACTTAATTGGAAACACCAATCCAGGTAAAGTGAGGCAGATAAGGATGAAATGGGTATGGATGAATGGTACTGATTAGATTTTATGATCAGCTTGAATAGTGTGTAGACAAGATATTAGGAGCCCAAGAACAAAGTTTTAAGGAACCCCAATTCAAAAACTAAAGGGAGAGACAAATATTGAAAGCACTGAATACTCATTTTAAAATGCTAAGTAACCATAGGTTTGATTGATGAACCTGATGATCCAACTGCTGGATTTTCATCAGTTTCTCCAGGACAGTACTACTATAACAGAGAAAGAATCCCAGCATAAAGGAAATAAGACTTTCTCACTTCCTCTTTTTTCCCTTCCAGACTTTAGAAACAGAGGATATATTTAGTTTATTTTCAAGCCTTCTAACAGTTGGATTTACAAACCACTTTTCTCTAAAAGGAAGAAAAATGGAAATAAGAAAGGAAAGGGGCTAACATGCTTTGTCCAGATTTTTTTAAAGAAATGTAGATCTTGACATGTGGAATTTTCTTCCTCCAGTTTTATAAATTGATTAAATTAAAATTGAAGATGGATCTTTACATATTTCCATAGTTTTCTATTAATGTAAAATGGCTCAAATGTTATATGTTGAATTTAATAGGAGTAAAAATCCCAAGATGAAAATAGGTAGATAGCACCTTTACTCATTGAAATAATTAGAAGTGGAAGCATGAAAAATGATACTAGTATGTAATCTGTTAAATGGTAATGGTTATGCTATAGTTTATTAGATTCAAACTGACACCAAGCTAAATTCAACATTTTTTCTCCCAGGCAGGTTTTTTAAAAAAATTTATTCCTAATAATTATAGTTCAATTTTTTTTATAGGAGTGGAATTTGTTGTTCCTAGAACTGGCTACTTTTGCAAACTTTGTGGACTTTTCTATACAAATGAAGAGGCAGCAAAAATTCATCATTGTAGAAGTACTGTTCACTATAAAAATCTTCAGGTAACAAATTATTATTCAGATTATTAATTTATACAAACTATACTACATGCAAGATCTTTAGCCTAAGCACGTATTCTATTATGGTACATGTGTCATCACTGTTCTTCATTGCAGTGTTGTGTGTCTCTCCTAGCTCAGTTCCATCACAGTAGTGGTGGCCAAGGAGCAGTATTGTAGAAAGTGCACTCCACTCTAGTAGAACAGGAAACTGCATGGAATGGGGTATAAATTATATTACTTTACCAGCATACAGTCTCTTCAGGTGGTTAAATACCATGGCTGTATGGCTTAGGTAGTTAAATACCAAGGTCAGTATGGGTCAGTATCAAGTCTTTTATGGAGAAATTAGTAACTATGCTGCATCATTTACCAAATAATAACTGGAAGCCCCAAAGATATTCCAAGAGTAGTCAATATGTCTGGCATCCCATGAAGCACCATGTTGATTGCAGCTTTTGAACCACAAAAAAGTACTGATCTGTCTCGGTGCATGATTGCACTTTTCTGACTTGATTAAGGAAACAACATCAGACTGAAGACTCAAGATTGTCACTGTTCCATTCAGTGATAGACAGTGAAGTAGAACTTAGCACAGTACACCAGCTTTTTATCCAATACCTTCTTGTGACAAGAAGTTTATTTTGATGCTGAAAACCAATCCTCCAGTCAGTTTCTATATACATAATTCTAATAACAGAGGCAGCTTACTTTGGGTTTTCTGATTTAACTTCAGAGATCCAAGCATCACTTTTTACTTGAATCCATGGTGCACAACTATAACAATAAACTTTGTAGATTGCCTTCACTCTGTTTTTCTTAAGAGGGCATTAAAAACTAGAGAACATTAGGCTTTTATTACAATAAGCAGAGCTACGCCTTCAAGTTCCAGGGGCCCTCGCAATACTATGCTTTCGTCAGACCTCCCCGCATTTCACTTTGCAGACCAAAGTAACCACTCTGCTGTGCAAAGGAGCAATAGATATCCTGCCTCTGTTTGAGGTAGAAGGGGAAGCTTACTCTTGTGATTTTACAGCTTGAAACAAAACAGTGTCCTCAGACTGATTCATCGCGCTGATTTCAAGTGTTCTCACCATTAATAGCTCTTGGTTTGCATGACTGATATGAAGGACATTTACATCCATACAATGAATCTGGACCAACCGCTGCCAGCATCTTCGTTTATTACTGGGCAGCATCTGTTTCCGTTCAAGATGCTTCTCTTTGGTCTTTCAACCCCAGCCAAAGAGTATTAAAACGCATCAGGGTGTGGGGGCCCACTTAATACTTTCAAGTGAGATAAGTTTTTCATTACTTCAGTAATTAGTTCTGGCAGCTCCTTCAAAGGAAGAAGTACTTGCTAATGCCAGAGCTATATTAGATCTAGCCTGCTTGCACTTTTGTATCACCCGCAAGAAATCTCAGTTAATTTGTTTCCACTTCTTGAGATTTCTGGGACTTATGCTGGATTCTCCAGTATTTTCACCAGCAGGCAAGATCACCTCGCACTCTATCTTGGCATTTCAGTCTACAACAGTAGTATCTGCTTGCATCCTCCAGAGTCTGCTGGGTTACGTGGCTACTTTAAACTTGTAGCAGATCACACTGAAGTTTTCCCAAGCAAATTAGCACCTCTTCCCTTCAACCCACTATTTATAACCTTCCGCAAACCCAAGGCAATATTACATCCTGATATCCAGTTTCTTCCAGGTTGTTCCTTTTTCTTCATTTTAATCGAGGTTTTATATTACCAGTTTTTTTTTCCAAACTTCAACAGCGTATAAACCGTACACTGCTCTTCACCCCTTAGAGCTTTGAAGATCTTTGTCCTTCATGTACATGTCCTTCATGTAAAAAAAATAAATTTTGGAAGGTGATACAAAACAGTGACTTACAAAAACTGAGATTAAAAAAATATTACTATTCTGTGTTGTGTTCTTCTGTTTTGAATAAATTGTGTTTTGGATAAAAGGAGTTGTAAAAATTTTTTTTTTAAAAAAAGGTAAACCTAGCAGAAAGAAGGCAAAAATGTCTTTCTGCTTTCAAATGTACTTTTCCACAACTGGTTTCCATGCCATACTAAAGCTCATATTATCATTTTATCTGGCATGAGAATGGTGGACATTCTATACTTCTTAGTCATAAACTAAGCTTTCTGTTAAATCTAAAATAAGGAGCCAACTAGAACAGTGTTTCTTAAGGAACCATCTAGAAAAGTGTTTCTTAAACTTTGCAAGTCCACCAAACAATTTGGACTACCAAACCATCTTTTATAAGGAATACCTATGCCTGTTTCAATCAATCAGTCAATCAATGAAGGGAACATTGAAATAAAACACACTTTAATAATACACTTTTTCCCTTTTACACTTAACCCTTCAGCTTTAAAAACAAAATGGGATGTAAACTTTAAAAACAAAATAGGATGGGATGGGATCCTCTATCACAATGCTGAAGGAAAAGGTAATAGGACTCCCAGTGCCTCTTCACTTAAAAGCTTGCACTCTCTTTTAATAATGATTTTTCCCAGTTATTTCAGAATGTTTGGAGAGGGCCCCTAAAATATTCCATTCATTTATGGTAAGTGCTTGTTTGGTTAGTGAAAGCTGATCCATACAACTTTTAGAATACATTTACATTGTTTGGGGAACATGGGTGTTTTGCAGAACATAGGTTAGGAAGCATGCTAAGCTTGCTAACTAAATGCTAAAACACTTCAGTTTAATTCCCTAGTTGTACATCTGAAGAATTTTTACCCATCATATCATTAGAGATCAAGAGAAGATTCTCACCTCACCTTGGCCTTTCTCTAGAGCATGAAGTGCATGCTGCAAGTTAATACAGGATGCTGTACAGAGCATGGTAATCAGTCATGCACAAGCCTAAGTGAAAAAGGAGATGGGAACAGGTGAAAGGCTTGCCTTTGGGATTCTTGGTGTCCCTTTAGGGCAGCCACTAAATCCAAGACCAAAGCAGTTTTACATAGCTGGATAAATGTGCACTTGCTCATTAAGATCTGTACACATTAATGATTTTAGTAAACCTAAGCAACAGATGAATCTGTTTTTAAGAGTGTGAGGTGAGTGGCATTTCTTTGGCAGAGCTTCTTTACAAGAAGGGCTTAGAGTATCAGCTTCTTTAGTGTGTGTGCATGTGTATGTGCACTTCTACTGAATTTAACTTCTAATTAAGTGCACAGCTGTTCCAAAGGCCCCACTTTGCACCAGTAGCATTGCCCTGCCATTTGGCCCCCACCCAGGCCTTGCTTAAAAGAGCCCTCAAAACCTGGCTTTGTTCCCAGGCCTTGGGCTAGAGTGGGTGGCAAGTCCCTTGTGCGTTATATGGCTCTGTTTAGAGGCTGGCATTTTCCCCTAAACATCTGTTGTTCTTTTGTTTGTACTTTAGAATTGTTTTAATATTGTACACGGTCCAGAGTTATAGTAGAGGCAGGCAGCCTTATAAATTTAATAAACAAGCAAGCAAGCAAGCACTGGGGTTGAGTAGTCCCTGGGTGGTAAAGAGTGCTCATACCTAAAAAAATAAGAGAGATGATATTATCTATATCTCATACGCGGTTGTTGCCTTTCTTCTGATCAGCAAACTTACACAAGGGAGTTGGGAACTTTCCAGAAATCAGGTGAAACATTTTCTGCTCACTTTAGATTTGGGGCTGTTTTCAACCTCAGTGGTTATAGGTATTACCTGTCCTCCCTTCCTATTAGAATTTTTAAAATATTGTAAGGTCACTGTGTTGAGAAGGCCTTGCTTATACTTATCTTTCACATTTTATATTCTAAGTAGAGGAACATCCTAAATATGTACAAAAGTAAAACCAAATCTGCATTAATATCTACTTTTAAAGTATTCCTGAATACTCTTGGCAACACTGATTCAAAAGAGGTGCAAGAGTTACATGAAAGAATCACCAACTTTTTTAGCAGATAGATTCAAATCATTGTTCTCCAGGGAACATTTCACATTATCTAGCCTAAGAGAAACCATTAATCCTACTATTAAAAGTTTCAGTGCAAATTGTAATTTTTTCATTATTGTAAAACACATGCTCAAAATTATATTGTACTAGGATCACTCAGCTGAATACTTGGAAGCATTTTGAATTTTTGGTTTAAGCTTAGAAAAATGAGTGCTAAGGTGTGTTGAACAAATCTACACATGCTCACAGTTGTATCACTGGTTAAAGAGTAAACAGAGGAAGACTGGGAAAGAAGAGAAGCGGAGGTGAGTTGGGACATGTATAATCATGCTGGTTCTGTCACTGGGACTAATTATTAGGTTTGTACTTCCTTTTTGATCCTTTGGCACGATTATATGTTTATATGGAAATGCATATTGCATACTAGGCAATTTAATTGTTACTTATTGTAAAAACATTTTCTTTGTTCCACACAGAAGTACCTATCACAGCTTGCAGAAGAGAATCTGAAGAAGAATGAAAAAGAAAACAGTTCATCCCAAGATGATACTGGGATTGTCCCTCACTTTGAGGAGAAAAGGCTATGATTTTTTTTTTTAATCGAAAACTTGCTGATTTTTTTGCTGTTCTCAATGACGCACCTTTAGTTTGCACTTTGCTAAAGAAAGGAAAGTATAATGAACTTTTTCTGGCAACCACACTGAGAGCACCATTAAAAATATAATCCCTGCAATATAGTAAAGTAGAAGTGACATATCTGCAAGTAGTAACATCCACCTTTCTGTAATGGATACTGTTCTCTCTAAATCAGAATTCTCAGGGATTTTCTCAGCGTTAACTTGTGTTACGACCTCAGTTAGTCAATGAATGAGGCTTATCTGAAAAAGACTCGATCTGAATGGAAACGTTGCAACAGCACGTTTGTTCAATCACCATGCTCAGTAATGAACCACACCACTTGAGATTACATTGCAGTAAGACGTTAGGTTACTGCTGAGGATACTGTTTCTTTGGGGACAGCACTGTCCTTGTCTGGTATAAGGCAGTTCATGGTATATATTTTCAAAAGGAGTTTATCATTCATATTGAAGTGGACAGAATTAGAGAAGCCCTTCTATTTCCAATTGGTGAACATATTTCAGAACTCTAAGATAAGGAAAAGTCTAGCATACTATGCCTCATGTTTTCCCTGCTGGTCTTATTCTCTGTTTTCTTCTATGTTTCTTAAAGCTAATTTCTTTTAAATCCATTAATTCTTAAATCTTAATATATTTGCACAGGAATAAAATATTTCTAAAATGAGAAGCTGTTCAAAACCCTATCTACGCTGCTGTAAGTGCCACGATGGGACAGGTACATATCTATACATAATACACAATTTTAATTAGTTCAGGAAATCAGACATATTTTTAACTGATCAAATGTTCTGTTATGAATCAATTAAACATTACAGCCTTCATTAGAACTGCCTTAAAATTTAATTTCCATAATTTTTACATTAATTATATAGCTGCCCAACACACTATGTGTCTGTGAAAAGTTCATGCAGATTTCAGTTAATAAAACACATATTTATTTGTTTAAGTAGATATAATAAAACTGCTAGTAACTACCATCACATAAGTTATTATAAAATACACCAGATAACGTTAAGAGTTCCTGAGCCATATTGAAAGAGCAGGTATAATTGCTCTAGGTCCTTGTTCAGGTAGTTTGAAATTTTATAGAATATATACAGTGGAGTTATTTCCATTATTTGCTGCTTCTAAAGCTGTCTAATTATTCAATGAGATCTTTTCTTCATAATTAAAAAAAAAACTTTGTCAAGATCTCCCAACCAAATTCTCATTTTATTACCTGTTTCCTTATTATCCTTTTCTTAGTTGCAAGGCAGAGGAACCAGTACCTTCATTTCTTTTATTTTTAATAAAAATAAAATAAATTTCTTTTATTTTAATAAGTCTGTGCTGTCAAAGGCTAGGTTTGAATTCATTAAATATCCACATTCCATGTCTTAACTTTGACATAATAAGAGACATATAGCACATTTCAGAATCATAAACTCAAGAATTTTTGAGATCCTAGCTTTTGACTTGGTCTTGTAAAAGAAAGGTGTTTTAAAAGCATATACCACACTTCTCCTATATCAGTTACCCCCTTTAGTTAAAACTTTTTATCCCAACTTCTAACATAAAATTTTCTAAGGCAGCTGACAAAATATTAAAATAGGGGGAAAATAGCAAGGAAAAATAATATATCTCTGGTATTACGGAAAAGATACAGTTGGTCTGTAGGGGGAACATAACTATATTTGTGTTGTTTTAATGTAGATCTTAGTAAAAATAATCTCACAGACAATTCCCAACGAAGAATGCATATTCCATCAGAAGACAGAAAGATGGGGAAATGCACATGCAACAAAAATGGCAAGCTTGCTTTACACTAAAAATCTGAAATTTAAAAAGACTTGCTTTTCCCCTGCCTTAATTCTTTACAGTTGTACTGGTTATGAGTGAGTGAGTGAGAGAGAGAGAGAGAGAGAGAGAGGGAGAGGGGATGGGCATGCACAGGGTAGCCTGAAGAGAATCCAAAGACTATTTATTATAAGTATGTAAAAAGCTTCCTTATTTATAAACAATTGCAAAATATTTGAAATATTTTAAAGTCTTTAGGTCTTGCAATATTTACTTGTCTCAACCTATTACTTTTTATGCGTTTCATATCACATAGCTTTCATTTTAAAACTAAGGAATCTAAGCCCTGAGGCATAAAACTTGACAA